ATGATTCACTTTTATAATCTCACTGTAAATAGCCTGCAGGCACATTTCACAGGGCCACTGGAACAGAACCAGAGCAGGAAATGCAAAGCAGGAGTCGGTCAAGTGCAGCTATTTCTCTGTGCCGATGGAATCTCTTGACCACGCAGTGTATTTCACCTCCAGTTAGACACAAAAACTATCATACTAATAATTGCTCTTTTCAGGGCTGAATAATTCATTTAGACAAATTGTAAGAGACATCTGCACCCAACACAATGACTGGAAAGCATGCACAGCTTGCTTTGTAGGGGTTACTTACCTTAAGGCCATCAATAATATCGTCATTATACCCTCTCAGATTTATATATACACAGTAATTTTCAGTAATGAAAAACTCAACTTTTTAAACAAAACCTGTGAATAGTCCGAAGGAAACTTGCTTTGAAATTTACAAAGAAAGCTGAACATCGGATATAAATTACTGACAATGCCCCTCTTAAGAAAAATCACTTCATATATACCAATATCAGCCATGGTGAAAAGTGGCAAGCAAGCAAAAAAACAAAACAAAACAAAACAAAAACAGCTGCCCCTTTCTCTTTGCTGCCTGTGTGTACTGGGTTGTGGCCCATGCATCTCAATCATCCCGTATCTTTATCCCTCACCCTTCTCCAAAAAATGACCTCTATCAGAAGACAAGGTGCACATATGCCATCAGCAACTTAACCCTGTCCGATCTGCTAACGTTAAAATTACTCTCACGTATACTTCATTCTAAGGGCTTTGCCCAATCAAAAGACAGCACCCTCTGTCATCAATAAGGTGGTCACACTAATTTGCACAAAACTGCACAGATCACAACCACCTTCATCTTTAATAAGGAGCTACAGCCTGTGGAAGTGACGTTCTGTGTGTACTGCTTCATGCTCAAGTACTCGATTCAACCTGCCACAACTATAGCAGATTGTGGGAATTTATATGAAATACTCTGTAAAGCAGTCTAGAAAGACTACAGTGTCTCAATCCTCCCCTTCACCCAACAGGATGCTTCTGACTCTACCATGGGGAATCTAACCCTTCTCTGTTTTCTATGCTACCCATCACCATACTATTGGATCTCAGAACTGGCAGCCTACAACTGACAGTGCTGTTCCTGGCTTTATTTTGTTTTGTCTTCTTTTTGAGCACCCAAAATTTTGCCAGGCACCTTATAACAAAGACATGGTCCCTGCCCCAAAGAGTTTACAGTCTATATCTGATGTGGCACTTGTGTGGAAATCTTCTGCCACAGACTTATTGTGTGAGCTTGGGTAAGTCATTTAAACTCACTGCTCAGTTTCCTCACCTGTACAGTGGGAATAATCACACTTGCCCACCTTTGTGAAGCACTTGGAGATCTACAGATGACCATCACTAGATGTGTGCTAAATCCTATTACCACCAAACGTCTGTTACCCAAATAATAAGGCAGAAAACCCAGACTACTTTAACTTTTTACACATTCAGACCTTGCAACCTTGGATGTCTTGAGACACATTCCATTTTCACTGCACTCTTGTGTTTTAACACCAAGTTTAACTGTAAGTCATGGTTCACAGTCAGGTAGGGCTCTTAAATATGACATATGCTGATTTCTGAATTTGCATCCTTCCTTTTCCGGCAAGTATTTTATGATAGGGGAAGTAAACAATTTTATTCAAAGTGAAAAATTTCACTAGAATATAAATACACCTTCTGGTGTGTGTCCTGGAAACTTAAAAATATTCAGTTTCAGAGACAACTCTGCATGTGACTATTTTTATTATGAAGAACATCTACATGTAAACAGGATTTCTGTTGCTTAGGAGGGTCACAGTGGGCTAAAATTTGCCATCAGTTTGGAATGGCATGTTCTTCATGAACATTAAAGGCCTGATGGTAGTTTTGCTCTTAAGAGTAGGGGATCAGTCATTTTGTCATCCTATGCTAAAATTTCGTCTTCATCTCCTACCCACACTGCTGTGCAGCATGTCATGTACCAGTTTGCTGTTGCTCTCCATCAAGAGCTGGTTGCTTTTCACTTATATGGTCAATCATGGTTTGTGAGCACATTGGGATCTTCTGAGATAAGAGGCACTAGAGAAATATATCGCTCCTGCTGCTTAATCCCCCATGCAAAGTCAGAACTCCAGTTTTGACGTTGCTGCTCCCTGTTGTGATGTCACAAAGCGTTGTCAAATTGAATCGAGGGCCTGTACGAGCCTGTTCTCAAACAAATGTTTCTGATAGTAAAACAAACACAGGAAGAGAAACTTGGATGTCATCTGACGTAACAAGAGAGTTCTCTAACTCGAATATTTGCCAACGCTTCCCATGAGGTGTCAGCAGGTTGTTAGCTGAACTATTCAGAAAGTGCCTGTTCTGCCATTTCTGTCTGAGCATCTCATGGCAAAGCATGTAAATAACTAGACAAATTCAGCAGTGACTAAGTGGCATTCCAGATGGCATCTTCTTTCTTGCCACAAGCAAAGAAAATTGATATTCTTCTCCAGTTACTTCAAGCTTGCTAAAACAAAAACAAAAAACAAAAAAGAAAAAAAAGAAAAAAAAAGTAGCTTAATATGAGAAAATTTGCTGGGCTACAAAAACAGATCTTAAAATGCTACATTGAAAATTCTTATAGCACCAAAAAAGGCGGAAATATCTCTCGATATCCTAGTCACTGACGTGTTACAACCCCACACCCACTCAGATTACTGCAACAAAATAGACAGCAACCTAAGGAAGAAACCTCATCAGACCTTGCAAGCTAATAAAGGTCAAAGTCTATTCAAAAACTGATTGGGTTAAAGACAAATGCAAATGCTGCAGAAACTGGTGCTGGATGTTCAAAGTTTCTCCCCTCAGTGAGTACAGAATCAATGCCCCAGCATGGATACTGTGCTGCTGGAGAGGTGTTTCGGATGGCACGTGAGGCAGAGTTCCCCATCACTCGTGGTCATTAAATAGCCTCAGAAATTTCTCACAGGAGTTGAGTATAGCTAAATCCCAAATTCTCACTGTACTTTCAAATGGATACGGTATTCATCATCACTTCCAGTCCTGAACTGTTGTGTTCCTTTTCAGAGTAGCAGCCGTGTTCCTGTTATACAGTTGATTTGTTCAGCTTCAGATGGGGATACAATTTGTTAGTAGTGAAATGATTCTTGAATATCAGTAGTTTGTAAAGTGCTTTGGGGTATCCTGAGATAAAAGGTACTACATAAATGTATGATTTTTCTAAAAACAGAAGTATATATTGTGCTATCGGAAACAGATCAAGAAGAAAGAGGGGTACCGGTTTCCGTATGCAAACTGCACCGCACACACTATCTGGGCTTGCCCTTAAAGCAGAGCTTACACATGTCAGATATTTATTCCTCAACACAAACCCAAAAAGAGGCCCATCTGATTCAGTCAAATTATGCAAATCAGGATTAGAAGTAGGAATCTAAATACTGCCCGTGTCTCCAGAGTCCTCTTAGAAGGATATAAAAGCTCTCTTCCCCTCCCCCACCGAAAGCTCTGCAACAAGCTTGTTTCAGCCAAGGAGGGCTGACAAGACACCTTCCAGAGTCCATCAATGCTAGTGCTAGGTCAGCTAGAAGGGTTGCTGCAGAATGATGTAAGACACTTAAGCGGCCCCTGGGACTGAGAGCATCTCTCCACAGCACTCCCTCGTCCTGCCAATCCTGGGAGCAGGAAACCAGATCCAAAGGAAAATGCAGGTTTCTTGCACGCCATCTCTTGAAGGCAGGTAACTGACTTTTGTCAAAATGATTCACAACTTGAGGGGCATACTGGATCAGTGATTGCTCTTCGATTCCCAGAGGCTGCTGGGGAAAAGCCCCAGTGGCCAACATCTGCCTAGGATAACAGACTGCAGCTATTCCTCTCTAGTATGCACCTTGAAGCAATCATTCATGCCATTTCTGAGTAACAGCCGTGTTAGTCTGTATTCGCAAAAAGAAAAGGAGTACTTGTGGCACCTTAGAGACTAACCAATTCATGCTCAAATAAATTGGTTAGTCTCTAAGGTGCCACAAGTACTCCTTTTCTTTATTCATGCCATTGAGCCTCCAAGGCTTGATTTGCAAGGCTCTACCCCTGAAGTACCGCAGAAGCCTCCGCTAGTGCAGAAACAGTTATCAACTTCCAGTAGTGCCCAGAACAAAGACAACACCTGTGTAGCTCAATCTGCACTGCCTCCATGTTCATGTCTAGCTGTAATTCAAGGTGTTGGCAATGATTTTGAAGCCCTGAATGGTCTGGGACGTGGTTATTCAAGAATTGCCTCTCACTCTATACTCCAAATTGACACAATTAAGATTGGGTGGGACAGGCTTGCTATCAGAACTGAAGATTTGAATACTCCATGTCTAGCAGTAGACCCTTTCCCATCCTTGGAATTATTGCCCTTGAGAGTTCAGAGTCAAAACCTACCAAACTTCAGAGTACAGAGCAAAATCCACTTGCTTTGTGTGGCATCTGATTAACTTTTCTATGTTCCAATTTTCTGTAACTGAAGCTCGTGGGCTGCCATTATTAAATTTAACAAAATAAATATGAACACAGGGCATCAGTTATCAGTGCCACTGCACCAGCCCATTGCAAATTCTTCTAATAGTTTTAAGAAAAATGTTGATAGCAAAATTAAGGCAATTGGCTATACATAGGCCCAGATCAGAGACTGTGTGATGAATACTGTGTGCGAGTTACACTTGTTAAACTTCAGCTGCATGCTTTTGATAGACCTGAGAAACAATGGCAAAAAGTTGATGGTACCAGACCACTTCAGGCAAAATGATATTAAAAACAAAGCAATGAAAATGCCCCAGAGTGATACACTCAGAATCTACACGAGATGAGTTTATGACTGTAGGAGTTTTGAATGGCATAAGGAAGCACACAGTTTGAAGCAGAATAAATGGATGTAAGCAAGCAAGAAACAGACATGCACACAGAGTGAGAGAGAGAGAGAGAGAGAGAGAGAAAGAAAGTACCTGGAAAGCTGTGAGTGCGCCAGTCCCTGGGTTATACAGGCATCGCAGCGAGGGCATGCTGTCCGCCAGGCTGGAGCAGCCCAGCCACAGAGATCTGGGCATAGAGCACTGCAGAGAAAGGACAACTATGAGATGGGACTGTATGAGACAGGATGGCACAGATTACAGGAACTTTGACGGCTTAGCTGAATTGCATCAACACAGTTGCAGCTGGCCTCTAAGACTGAAAGAGCTTCAAGAAACACTACGGATTGATTTGTCTCCTCAGAAACTCTTAGACGACACAGTAGCAAAAAGTGAAAAAAAGAGGTTATGGTCCAACAAATTAATTATTTAATCAACTTTTTGCATCAGTTTTCGTGGTACTGCACTAAACAAAGTTATTTCTTTCCAATTAATCAGTTCTCTCTCCCTCCATGCATAGTCACCTCTCAAATATACCACAGAGAGGAAGATTCTACAAGGTAAGCAGAAAAATGAACAACAAATTCCATCGGATAGTGTCAGGGAAACAGAAAAGATTTTGTGGATTTTGTTCCATGCACTCCCACCCCACCCTTGCACCAGAGTGAGTGGGAAAAGGGTGGGGAAGATCCTAGGCCCAAGGACAATAATAACTCAGTTACTGTTTGCAAAGGTTTTCTGTTTCTACTTGCTCTGCTATTCATTAACTAAACTACAGTTACCATAGCAAACTGATAATTCACCTTTCCAAATGGATCAAAAACAAAAATAAAAAAGAGGGGGTCAGCCCATCAAAAAAAGGAAAATAGTAGTCACTGATATTTAAAAAAAGAAAAGGAGGACTTGTGGCACCTTAGAGACAAACAAATTTATTTGCGCATAAGCTTTCGTGAGCTACAGCTCACTTCATCGGATGCATGTGAGCTGTAGCTCATGAAAGCTTATGCTCAAATAAATTTGTTAGTCTCTAAGGTCCACAAGTCCTCCTTTTCTTTTTGCGAATACAGACCAACACGGCTGCTACTCTGAAACCTGATATTTAAAACTATTTCGTTCTGATATCCATAGTTTTTAAATCTTTAGCACGGCAGGTTAAAAATATTACTGGCATTTTGACACCAACCTTGTTCTGATCAGTTACAGAACTTTTGAGCCTGAACTTGCTGTTTATTGTATCACTGGCATGGTGGTATAATACCAATGCATTTTAAATGGGCAGCTAGTTACAAACACAGTAGGATATGACAGATTAGTTACAGGAAATCTCACACCATTATATTCTTCATCTCCACACCCCCATGCCATATTAAGCCTTTTTTTTTTTTTTTTTTTTTTTTTTTAAGAAGCAGGGGGATGAGAGAAAATATGAGTGGAAGGGACAGCTGTAACGGTGTGAAATGGCAGGTGCCTTTTGAGCCGCTATTTCTCACTGCTCTGGGAGGAGTGGAAAGTCCTGCACTAAATTTAATATGTGGGAGCCATGTGACCAATCCAGAAATGGGCAGAAAGAGGACAGCCTCCTAAATTCATAATTTGTTACCATATAGTAAACCACACTTGAATTAACCTTATCACCAGTTTACATCATGTCACTTGGGATATTTTGCTCCAATTTATGCTTCCGCTCCAAATATACACATATTTTTCAAATTCACTGGAGAATTTAACCTAGGAAAAAGTGCTTTTTAAAAGTTTTGGTTACCCTAATATAATCTCACCTCAATTTTATAAATAAATTCTACACTTGATAAAGAATCTAGAATTCAAGAATCTGTATACTTTAAAAACACAACCCCCCTGTGTGATAGTAAAGTGTCACCTATTTTATTGTCAGGCAAACTTAAGTCGAGAGAGAGCAGGAATTATGGACCAGGTATCACAGCAAGCAATAGAAACCCAAGTCACATTTCTCAGTCTGCTGTTTTAACCTACCAGACAATACTTGAGTATTCCAACATACGGAAGAATTCTAAATCCCAATACAAAAACAGAAAACAAAACCTACTCTTATTATCTATAAAGCTCTTATGTCCAGAAAAGTTAAGAGATCAGTGTCACAGAACTCCTTGCAGCTAATCAGGATGTACTTATTTACATACGCAAACTAGTTCGTTAATATTGGTCCAGACCTCAGTTATTATTGATCTGTGAGGAAGTACACAACAGAAAATAACCAACTCCTTTTGTGACTTTTGAGCCAGTCAGCTAGGATTTTTCTCATGTATGTAACAAGATTTACATTACCACTGGAGTTCTGTTCCTTTTTTTTTTTTTAAATCAGCATTTGTCTTTAAAAGAGCAAAGGTTCACATATTGGGGGGAAATGTCATTCCTGTACTTGCTTTCTGCCCATTGAAAGAAACGAAGCCTCTAAATTACAATTGGGGACTGAAAAAAGCTTATTCACAAGCTTGAACAAAAGGCCTCAGGTGTTTCAATAGAAACAGCTTGTGTGTAAATCAGATGAGTGACCCAATAGAACAACTTCATTTACAGCCTGATCTCTGAAAAACTCAACATCCTCCATCCCCAGCCACCAACCAAGCTGGATGTCAAATACTCACTTCTGTATTGACAGCTCCACCAACAAGGGGCTGGCCTCAGCATTTACTATTTGAAGCTGACTGACAAAACCCTCTCTTGAACCCATGTCAATCTACATCTATATTTATTTATTTTTAAAAGGCGCAAGAAGCACTGAATTTTGACTGTAGCCAGATGGGAAACTTGGTATTGCCACAAGGTACTGGTCCTAACCCACAGTAGTTTCTCTGCACATCTAACATTTAATTATACTAATATTTTGGATTTCTGCATACCTGATGGACCCAAGAGTGCTTTACAAAAATTAGTAAGCCTCAACACGAGTTATATCAATTTCATAGAAGGGGAAACTGAGGTGGGGGGAAGGAGACTTGCAGAAGGTCACAAAGCACATCCGCAACACAGACAAATAGAAATTAAGTCCTCATTCCCAGTCCTCTGCTTTAAACACAGGAACATGCTCCACTACTCCAGAATGTAGGAAATGCAGTATCAGATCAGACCAGTGGTCCATCTACTGCACAATCCTCTTTCTCACAGCAGTCAGTACCAACTGCTTCAGAGGAAGGTGTAAGTCATCCCAAAATGGACAGTTACAAACCAACTTTCCCATAAGGGAATTTTCTTCCTCATTCCCAACACTGAGGGTATATCTACACTGCACACTAAGCCCGGGCTCTGACTAAGGTTTGACCCCAAGCCCCACTTCCGTCCACATACAAAACAGTATGACGCAGATCAGCAAACCCTCAGGACCGGGTCCTTAGACCCTTCCTCCTAAGAGGGTGGGTCAAGGTCAGAGCCCAAGTCCTGCTGAAACTTCAGTCTAAGCCCTGTCATTTTGGAGTGAGGATGCAGCTCATGCCACAGCCCTGAGTCAGAAGGTCTGCGAGTGCAGTAAGGATGAATTAGCACAGTTGTGGGACCTGGGTCAAGCAACTGTAAAACCAGGGTTACAATGCAGTGTGGACACCGAAGGGAGAGTTTGGAAACACCGAGTCCACAAGCACAGGTCCCACAAATCTGGGTTTACAATGCAGTAGACATACCTTTAGTGGTTGGCTTAAATGCAGAAGCATGATGGTTTTTTATATCTGACATATCACATCTACTATAATTCTGAATGTCCTTTAAATATAAATGTCTAATTCTTTTCTTATTTTAATCTTGCTAAACCTTAGATTCAATTATATTTTGTGGTAAAGGTAGCCACAGACTAATTAGAAATTGTGTAGAAAACTATTTCCTTTGTTTTAAATTGGCTGCCTTTCAATTTCATTGGACAGCCCCTTGACCTTGTATTCTATGAAAGGTTAAACAAGAGCACCCAGTTTCCCCAGGCCATTCATTATTTTACATACTCCCATCTCATGTGCCTTCCTATTCATCTTCTGTCTAAATGAAACAGTCACAATCTTTTCAATTTCTCCTCAGAGAGGGAATCATTAGGTTTCTTTCTTTCTTTTTTTTTTTGGTCTTCTATCTCTGAATAAATACTAGGTAATGCATTTCATTTTCTAGTGGGTTGTCCATTCACCTACCTTTGGTAGGTCCCTCTGAAGATCCTCAGTCGAAGACTGACCTAGATTTTTGTCATCGGTTCACCCTCCACCTTCCTAAATCATGTAACATATTAAAACAAAACCAGTTCTAATACAAATCTCATTGTTAACTTTTGCCATGTTGAAAATTGATGATTTATTCCTGCTCTTTGTCGTCTCTTAGCCAGGTTCTAAACCATGGCAACAATGCTTTACCTTGACAAAGCTATCCTACCTGTTTTATCAGATTTGCTCTCTTCTGGGTCCTTTCAGCATGTGTGTCATGTCAGAGGTTACTAAATATTATTTTATTAAATTCTGTTCGAGATCAGAAATGCATCCCTGCCTGCAAAACCGAATGGTTATTACCTGGAGAAAAAAGCAGATAATTTCCAGAAACACAATGTGTTTTACAAATATAGTGCGCACCCAAAGTGTGTGAAAACTGAAATCTGAATCCACTATAGTAAGAAAAAGTAGGATATAGTAGTTCAAAGATTAGATTTTTGAAAAAGCAAGTTTTGGGGAATTAAAGCTATTAAGAGAGGCAATGGGAAGAAATATTATGGCCTTTGTGTAAAGAAGAAGGTTGATGCAACCTAAAAGAGACAACAATTAATGTGCAACAATCTATACTTCAAGTTCACAGTGCAGCATCTCTTGCTATAGTAGGTGTGACCCTTTAGTATAGCTACAATGCCTTACATTTTACAGGACATGTTCAACATCACTTAACAAGTCAGTGGCATAGCCAAAAATAGAACCCAGATCGCCTTATTCCAAGTCCTGATTTTTGGTCAGTATAATCTTATATTAGGTTGGGACAGGAGCTGCTTCTCCACATCGAGTTCCGTCTGCAGCCACAGCAGGATTGTTCTCCCGTAGTAGCGTCCAGTGCTTTGTGCAGTTCAGTTTTAAATGATTAAGCAATAGGGCTTCTGCTTCTCTTGGGAAAGTGTAATCTTACCTCCTACCTCCCAAAACACATACTGGAAGTGTGGAGAGAGAATATGATCACAGCCTACTAAGGTCTGGAAAGTGTAAATGCTAACTAAGGAA